TTCTACGAAAATTTCTGTTTCGCTGCTTTTCTAAACTAGACAGAGTGCGGTAAAATCAATCTCGACTGTTCACTGCGTACGATATTTCTTGAAATTTTGCATGAAGATGTGATCAAAGCTACATGTTCCGCTTTTCCTCAATGAAATTTGGAATTGGAATTTAGCACTGTGCGGAGCTCTCGCTCCTTCTTTGCTTTTCCAGAGATACACATACTGAATTTCTTTAATTCGTTCTTCAAACTATTGGAACGAAGAAAACTAGAAGAAACTGACAACTATCTAGTCGGAGCCATCTTGTACAGGACGGTTTCGAATATACAAGAAACCGATGACAACTATGAAAATTACCCATAGCATTGAAGTGTAGCTGTTTTTGCACCTTTTTTTCCAGCATTGCAGATAAAAGATTGTAATACTTTATATCTATATGCTATTGAAAATTTTCTCCTGCCTCAGGTTCAAAGCCCAAAACCAAGCCTCAAAAGAAAAGGACTGAAGAAGAGAAGAAGTTCCGACGGAGGGCAAAGTATTTTCTAGGTACTCAGCTGGTTGCAGTTTTGGTATTCCTTTCTCTCCTTGGAGGATCTGATGATTCTGAGGCTCAACCAAATGATGATGGTGGTGGCATCTATCATGATGATTAAATTTTTTATATTTGCTCAACTTGTCTGTGTTCCCATCATGGTTTCCTCCCATAGATTGAATGGAGATTCTTGGAGAACTGATGTTTATAGTTTTTTGGTACAAAATGTACTAGTCCACAGTTTAACAGCATTAGTCCTTGACAAATTGAAGTTTGTAGCAGTGTTTTTTTTCACTCAAACCTCCAAAACATGGAACATCACAACTTCTGTTGTTACTACAGTGGTTTCAAAATGCACTTTTTTTTTAACATTTCCCTTTAGAAGAATTTATCTGGTACTTCCCTTTTTCATTTTATTTTTCAGGAATCTAATATGAATTCTTCTTACTACTCCGTAGTTTATTTTCTTATCTTTTTGTTTTTCAATAAAACTTTCTACTTCATAAGTTAAGACTTTGTTTGGGAATATCATTTGTAAGTTGTAACTTGTGTTAGTTTTTGAAAAATTTTTATACTTTGATTCCCATGACATTGGAGTTGAATGTCATAGGATGACATTAGCTCCAATTGGGACACTCAGGTGCTCCAATTTGTTGACATTAATCTTTTTCTTGGACCTCTCAAGTTTAGTTGATCATTAACTTCTAACACAATGAGATTGATTTTATTTGGATTCCAAATTACTCATATGCTACCAAGGAGGTGGGTAATAGAACTCCATCCTCTAAACCACTTAACTTTGTGGTGTCAAATAGTTTCCAACATACCCAAAGCAGTAATGTTATACTTATTAATGAAGTTTGAACATTCCTTTGTTTATCAGGACTGTTCAACACTTGTATTTCAACACCCAATCATAGTATAAGGGAAAATACCCCTCACATAGGGCCTCAATAAAATCTTTATTTATGTTTCCAAAACTCTCTCGATCTTCCATAGGCTTTCAAATTAATTTTCTTTTGCCTTGGATATTCTGAGTAGGATTACGCCTTTTCCTACACATTTCTAATGAATGTCACATTCTTTTGCAATGATTACATAAAATAGGAGACGACATGGTATCGGAGCCTTGATGATCAAGAGATTACGAATTCAAAACTCACCGCCACCTTTTTTTAAAAACTTTGTTTGGACCACAATCACAAGTTTGAGTTTTTTGATTGAGTTACAATTTACAAAGCTAGATAGACTCTGATACTTTATTTCCAAATCAGGAAATTGGATTGAGATGCTGAGATGTGGATGTCCTTCAAATCCATTAACATCGAGCTAAATCTCACCGATGATACACAAACTTTGAGCAATATATCATTTTGGAATCTAAGACAAATTTTCTCACAAAAATATGTGAACTTTGAAGAAATTTCCCAACAAGGACGAAAATGTATTGGGTCTCTTTTCACTTTTATTTTTTCATTTTTTTCCAAAAAAGAAAATGGAATCTTTTCTTAATTTTTAATACTCTGTACAAAGTATTAAAAAGAGCCTTGATGACTTTGTAGGAAAAAAATTGCTTTATTTGATTTCATTTTTTTATGTATCTTACAAACAATATTGTACTTTTGGAATAATTTTCTATAAAATTTTAAAAAACATTTAAAACACAAAAAAGGAAACAAAGAAAAAAGTGAGGGATCTGAGTGTTATTACCATAACACATTTAGGGTAAAATAGGAAGAGCGTGTTTTTTATCACCTATGAATAGATTAGTGGATGAAATATCTCCTCCCAATAATTACAACAAAATTTAACGATCTATGTTGTCTTTTTTAAAACTAGAGACTTGAAAATTATTTCAACAAAACCTGTATCACCTAAATCTATGTCTTCCACTTTCTGAAAAACGCACCACAAACTAACCTTCTTTTAGAAACATAGCAATATAGCATTATCAATAGCACATCTTTTCCATATTCGCGAGAAAAAAAAGCCTTTAACTTGAACTGAAGGATTAGCTCCCAACATGCAACAAACTAGGGCAACATCCCACTTACCCGGTTCAACAATGTCCCCCTTCCTGAATTGTGCAATGTACTGGCCATTAATAACATGTGTGATTTTAGTACTATAAAAGTGTTTTTATCCATCAAGTAAAAACCATAACATAGATAGAACAATATTCTGGTAGTAGTAAAAAATCAACTCATTAACTTTGCATGTCCATAAAAAGTTACCCCTTATAATACTGGTAGTAGTAAAAAAAAATCAACTTATTAACATTGCATGTGCTGCTAGGGGGGACATGGAAAAAGAAAAAAAGGGTGGGAGGGTAACTGTTACCATTATTGCTCTTAATGAAGAGCTCCTTCTATACAGACTTCTGTTGACTGTAACGTAGAATGCCATAGACATCGACAATTCCAGGAGGGAAGACCGTATCGGTAGCTGCTCTGACGGCTACTTTTGCCACCGCAGTGACGTTAACGGGAGGAGTGAGCAAAGGGCCCACAAGAGGAAGTTGGTTCAATGATTTTGCATGTTGGAGAACCTGCAATGGGATGTATTAATGATGAATGTCTGTCAGTGAAGTGTGCATATGATAAAACATACAGTACTAAGAATAGATTAATGCCAAATTAAGTCTTGTTTGGGAACAACATTTTCAGTTCGCGTTTTGGATAATTTTTTAAACATTGAAAACGTTAAAGCTAAGTGTTGTCTGTCATTAGATAGCCCTTTTAAAACGTTAAAGCCAAATATTGAAGTTGATCCCAAACAGACACTTAGAAGGACATATGCTCAGACATCACGTGTGTGCTCTGGCCACGCTAGAGAGCTATAGAAAGACCTTTTCTTACATAAAGCATAATTTCAGTAGAGCCCGGTTCAATGGCCACTGGATTCCAGTGGCCACGGAAGCCACTGCCCTCCTACGAGGCTCCGTTCATAAAATTGATGATTCCTACCCCCGGTAAACCCCCCCGCCAAGTCCCGACCCAAACTAATCATCCCACCTACGTCAATTGCACCTCGTAAGTATAAAGTCAAAACTTTTGACTTTAAAGTCAATTATACTTACGAAAAGTCAAAAAAAAAGATAAGAACAAAGAAAAGCCAATTACCATTTCAAGAGGAGAACCAACTACACCAAGGGGCAATTTCATGCTCCCGACACGACGAGTTCCATAGATGAATCCAGGTCTCAAAATCACACCTAAATACAGAACCAAGCCATAATCTCAAATCGATTAGGTTGCCGAAATAAAATCACGCCTAAACAAAATCAGAAAAGCTTGTGCGGTTGAGAAAAAGAATGCAAAATAATAGTTTATAATGATAAAATGATAATGTTAAACATTTCAACAACTGTAATCCAATTTAGGAAAATCCAATTAAGACAAGATATCAACTTCGTATAAAATTTGCCAATTATGGGAACTAAAGGGTAAAAGCACTTTAGCATTGTTAGCAAAGAGTTAATGATGATTAAAATAAGAGGAACAATAAAAAAAGTTATCTAAATAGGAAGCCAAGGCATGCAAACAGCCACCAAATAAGTGAAATATTAATGCTCCTTCTGTCCCACAAAAATCATCACATTACGGTTTACGATTACAGTTTAGGTCTTTAGGATGTACGACTGAAGCTATATTCAATTCAATTCAATTAAGATTGGTGTAGAATTTAAAAATAAAATTTTTAACAAATAGTGAATGAAAATTTAGGGAAAGAGTATGATTTGAGCACATAAATAGTAAATATAAAGATTTTTTTTTGGGAGGGGGGGGAGGGCATATGTTTTAGTGAAAAGTAAATTCAGAAGACGGCTAAATTCGATTTATATGACAAACCTAAGAGCTTAGAATGTCAAGCAATCCCAAAGATTTTACACAATTATTTTAGATTGAGGAATTGAATGCAAAAAGTGAAACAAGTTCAAAAACCATTGTTTTTTACAATATTGATACCAACTAATTGGTTGGTACAGTTCAGTCATTGTACAAGCGTTTGCATATGATCTGGTCCACTAAACTAAACTTTGAAGTCGTTAGATAAGGAAGACATGCAAAATATATCAATTTCCAATATGTAGTGATTCATAGCATATCCCCCTTAACTTCGGACCAATTTTTTCAAACTAAATTTACTAAACAAGTGCAAACCATTTGATGATACTAGTGTATACTGTATAGGATCCAACCAACAACACTGCTTGTACTGATAACCATGTTTCTACACCTTAACTAAAAGCTTTACTGCTAAAGCTATTGTGCTGACTGCTGAGGTGACACTTGTGTGTGCAAATTGTGCATGTGTTGTGTACTTCTGTGTAGTCTTCAGTTATAGGATACAATTTCTGCAGTCACAAACAAAAAATAATGTTTCAGCTTTCACTACATACAAATGTAAGAAAATTCACCTCCATAGGTATATCGGGTCAAAAGTTCAGTTTCGGCAGCTCTCTGCAACATGTGATAAAGGACATGTTTGTATTAGGAAAAGAGAAGGTTATATTCTGATAGGAACAAAAATAGGAGGGGGGGGGGGATAAAAAGGATACATTGTTATGAATTCATGAAATCAGAATCTAATGTCACAAAACAATAAAGATGAAGATAAATCTTTGTTAGGGGGTAAGCAAGTATATTGAACTCATTGGACTAACAAAGCCAAGGATTATTTAAGATTCACCATACTTATCTCAATAACCCACAAGAGGAGAATCTCCAATTGGATAAAACTATATATTTATTTCTTAAGCTGTGGTACACTTCTCATACGGCCATCCTATTTATAAGACTGGAATACATTTAGAATAGATAAATAAAACCTAGATAATTCCCTCGGACCATGACAATTGACTCCCTAGTCCCTACAAACACTCCTAAGACTATCCCATCAATCCACAACTCAGATAATGGGAATAAGAGCTTGTATTCCTCAACTAATTTTGAATACTTATTACTTATTCTTATTAGAATCAGATCAGATCAAAAACAAATTTAAATACAACTACGAGACCAGATCAAAACTTATTCCAATCACGTGAAGACAACAAGCCCTAACTACCTAAAAATTAACAAATACAATTATTAATACAACAATAACAGAAAATATCTAAGATAAAATAAAAAATAAATAAACCAATGAATATAATTCCTAATATTTCTCTAACTTCTCCAAATCATCCATCATCTCACGCATTGGTATTCTATCATATTCCTAGGGAGTTGGGGTAAAGGAAAAGAAAATAGAAATAAGAAAACGCACAATGTAATACTCTAATTTCAATACGCAAATATATGCCATTTAATTATAACTAATTTCTTTCAAATATCATGTGCATTCACAAACAAGTAGCAAACAGCTCGTTCTTTGAGTTTCTTCATGTCAGCTCATTTTAAACAATGTACTATAATGGGATTGCGTTCAGCCATACACTTCAGAAAATCAGATCCGAAGCAATTATTATTGACCGCATGACAATTAACACCAATGTGATTATGCTGAGCTTACATAGAATACTTAAGTAGCAAAGTCACATTTGTTATGGCAAGAGTGCAAAAATATAACGCCATCTATTTGCAAAAAAAACGTATTAAAAAAACATACCTTTCCCTCATAATAACCTTGTAGTAGGTAATTCACAAAGCCAAAATCAGCAGCCGAAATGTATACAAATCTTTTTACTCCTGAAGCCAAAAATGGAAACATGTGATACAATGGATCAGTAAAAATATATACCGTATTTCGCAACACGTGTAAGCCAAGTTAGTCTCCCATGGATCCCAATGCCTCTTGGAAACAGCCTCTCTACTTTCTTGTAGGGGTAAGGTCTGCGTACACACACCTTCCCCGGACCCTACTTATGTGGGATTCTACTGGGTTGTTGTTGTGGATCCATCCCAATGCTAAAGTTTTTCCAGGACAGGGGAGCCACTATCAAATCCCAGGAGATATTAAGGACTTGCTGGATTCAGAAAAGTTGCTTCATTTGAGTATTCCCAGTCCTACCAATTCCATTGTCATTTATAGTGATTGTTATTGGTCAATTTTTACAAACCCCAATGTGACTAATGTGAGGGCCATAGGGGTGGTGTTGTCAGATTTCTGAGACAAAAAATAATACAGTATCCTTGTATAGTGTCTATATGAAAATCATGGACACGGATAAATTGTCGATTACATGGATACAAAAAGGTTTGGCTGTCCGGTCAGGATAGGAGGTAAACTTTACCATTTTGTGTTCTACTTGTAGCAATCGAGTGTACAGGCAGAATATTTACAAATGACACTTCAAACATGAGAACTAATATGTTGAAGCATCCTCTAACTATCAAATTTTACAAGATATAGACTATGATTCTATGTAGCTTGTTTGTGGAAAGTATAATTTGCAGTCGATCATAAATTATACTCCGTAATAAATATATACTCCATCCGTCCCTATTTTAACTTCACCCTTTCCTTTTTCCTCCGCCTAATTATAATCTCTAGTTTCCTTTTAAAGAAAGGAATATGTGATTCACAACATTTTTCTCTTCTAAACAAAATTCCACCACGCACTTTTCACTTATCAACACTTTTTCAATGGCGTGCCCCGTAAAACCTGACACTGAAAGCCTACAACAGGGACACCGGGAGTATAATACTCAGTAGATTGGTGAAACAGATATGAATGGTTCAGTTTGTGGTCAATTAATAGTTCATAAATGAATAAAATAAATGAAATCATAAAATGCCACAGTTTCAAGTAGTCGGTCACAGTACTTTCCTTTTTTGTTCTTCTTTGATAGGTATCAGAGAGTAAATCCTTGTCAGACGATGATAAGAACATATGCTGCCAAACACTGAATTTTTAGCCTAAGTTCTACATCATACGCATTTCAGACCACTAAGTGCTTCAAAATGTATAGAGCACTCAAGCAATAGAGTGCCTATCCATGGCTCCAAGAAAAAGTTTCACAGTAGCAGAACTGAATCACACATGAGGAAGTTTTACTTTCACTTATGGCTAATCCTGGCTCACTTTTTGGACTAGAACATAAAAACCCTTCACTTCTAGAATTTCTTTACAGGGGCATAAGCAGATCTTAAGAAACAATAGACAATTTAATGAAGCAAGATAAGATGTACCATAATTGATAAGGTTCTTAGTAATACCTTCTTCAGCAGCAGCTCTTATAGCATTTATGTTGGCTGTTCCATTGATCTTATACATGTGTGAATTAGAGCCAAAGCCGCCTACACACGATATCTGCAAAAGTGTTTCCACTTCAATGAATAGATCGATACTTTGCAAAGCAACTCAACTGATTCATAACCCCTTCCCCCCACCCCCCCCCACCCCCACAAAGAAGCATTTAAAAGATGCAGGTGCATCAAACACTTAAATTCTTAAACATCCATGAGATAAAATGGAAAAAAATGATCTGAAAGATACTCTGCAACTATTAAAGCCCTAACAGAGAAGGAAAAAACCGGAGACCCATTTCAGAATTATGCAAGCTCTAGTCAAACAACTGCAAAAACTTTAGTGTCTTACTCTCTTACTTCCTATTACGACCAAAAAATCGGTGTCCCTATAAGTGATCAGAAATACATCCCTAAATATTGAAATCTCTTGTTTGAACTCTAATTTGAAATGCTAACTATAATTTCGATTTGCAGCCATTGAACCCTGCTGCTCTACTCACCGAACTATTCTTTTAGGATTCCAGTGGGCAACCAATAGATATTACTCCAGTATATTACCATGGAAACATGAGGGGTGGTTTTTGATATGGGAATTCACATAGATTATCTAATTAACTCTTTTTTGTTCTTTCCTGGGATTGAAAAATTAAAAAATGAAAAATCTGGTTATGGGTGGTGGCGATGCATTTACACAGAATATTATGAAAAAGAACTGTCATCCCAAAATGTTGCGAAGGTTGTTGCCTGGGAAACTAGGCCGTCTAGGTCTCTAGGCAACAAGTAGCCATATGCAATATTTGAAATTTTGAATACAATATAGTTTAAAAATATTATACGTGGATTACTAATATATTACTCTATTTTTAATTCAAAACAAGAGTTTAATACTGTTTCAAATAAATTAAACTGCAGACTTTAGCAAAAGGCAGTATTGTGAGTGATGTGACAACTATCATAAAGAAACGAAAAAGATGGTCATAAAGATAAACAAGTTAACTACACAGATAAATAAATAAACAAAAACGAAGATAGAATAAAAAATATACACCCCATGCCGAACGACTCTGTTGTGTCGCCCTCATAATTGAAGGCGCCACCGCAGATCGGTTTTGATGGCGCTGGAAAGGTGGTCTTATTTCCAGTTGGGATGATTCTCTGGACAAATTTAAACTACATTTAGATCCATTGCATTATGTGGATTACTTTGGCCAACTTGCTAAACTATGTCAAATGGGCATGGTAATGGAGTACCAAACCACCGTTGAGGGTATTTTGCAACATGTTACGGGGGTATCCGAGGCAAATTTGATATCTTTATTTCACTCGGAGCTAAAACCCCATTTACGTCATGAGATCGCCTTGCTCAATCCTGAAACGCTCTCTGATTCATTTGCGATGGCCTAGGAAATGGAGGCCAAACATATGGCCTTAGTTCAATCAGTGGCCGCCACCGTGGGCATCACCTGGGAAGTTCAAGATACTGTACACAGGACCGCGGCAACATCAGGCCCTGGTTCCATCGACATCCATGCCTGGTCCGGAAACCACAACAACAACTTCAGCTACTCCCAGCACAATTCAGCGCCTTACCCGAGCTGAAAAAATAGACAAGGACGCCAAGGCAGGGATGGACAAAAACTCACCATTGTGGTCGGATGTTGCTCCTCATCGGAGACGACGACGAAGATGATCAAGATGGGGACACAATGATACCAACAGCTGACAGCCCGAACCCCTTGTGATTGTTGATATTTCAATTTTGCACACACTGGCAGGCCTGGCTACTCCTCGTTCACTCCGTTTGACGGGTTGTCTGGGGTCACAAGATGTCCATGTGCTGATCGACGGGGGGAAGTACACATAATTTTGCACATCCAGACTTGGTGTCGAATCTCCAGTTAACAGTTTCCTCAATGCCGTCCTTTCGCATATATGTAGGTAATGGCTATTACTTTGTGATATGCAGTGTGATGGCGATAAACCACCGAAGATCTTGACTAAGCTAATTGTGTAAAGTTTAGAGAGAGAGAGAATGCCGCCATCAGCAGTGTGTGGCTGTATGTCTAAATCTACAGGGGACCGAGTTTGCAGAACACTTATTTGTTTTGAACATTAATGGCCCCGATATGTACTGTGTCAAATGGTTATAGGCTTACAGCAGTTGGGGCGCGTGAGCGCGTCGGTCATGACTATTCCATTCTTACAATGGAGTTCACGTGGCAGGATAAGCTGGTAATTTTACAGGAGAGCCTGTAGTGCCTGAATCTGTTCATGAATTTGATCTTTGATATACTCTCTTCAAGCTGCAGGATGGGTGTCAGAATGATTTGAAGTGTATTACTTGGGTACTTTGAGTACAATTATGTCCACGGTCACTCCAGATCACCTGGCCGAAATCCCTCTGCCCATAAAACAAGTATTGGATTCCTTTGCTCAGGTTTTTGCTGTTCCCATAGGCTTGCTACCACGTCGTGCTGCCGATCACTGCATATTCCCTCAACCAGGGGTGGCACCAGTTAATGTCTGTCCGTACTGCTATCCGCATTTTCAGAAGGATGATGCCTTGGCTGACCACACAAACTGAGTGGCAGCCTTAATCGTAAGGTGCTTTCCTTATCTAGACTCCGGAGTTCTTTTTTTCTTTTTCGGTCTCGTATGGCTATTCGAATGAAGAAAAAACAGGTTCTGATACAGGTTGGTCAAAGTTGATTGAAAAAAAGGCATTGCTATGAACGCGTAGTCAACATCATTTAATGTCCATTTCTCTTTGATGAGCGACCTGCCCTGGCGAGTATTCTCCACTGCTTAGACGCCATGGCGTCGTCTAGGCGTGAAGCTATAATAACCATGCATGTTACTGACCAAATCAATTTTGCATAGACGAAGCTATAATAAGTAATAACCATGCATGTTACTGGCCAAATCAATAAAAAATTAGTCATTTGTCAATGACTACTTTGAGAGATTCATATAGAAGAAATGTAAAAGTAATACATACAACAGAATCTACTCCATTTAGTGCTTCTTTCCAGGAATCATTTGAGAGAAGGTTTCCTGTCACCAGGGTATAAACAGATTATAAGTTCTTGTGCATAGTAAAAGGAAGGCAGGAAGCTAGGATTTTAATTAGCCAAACAATAGTGAAACCTTGGTGCCAAGACACATTGTTTACCCATGGCTCTTGTATGGATGGCCTGCCTGTTCTATAAGAGTAAATAAACCTAAGTTAGTATAAACAAGATGTAAACTGACAATGCCCAATCTCTCATGAGTGTACCACAAAAAATAAGTTGAAGAGAGTTCACATGAATGAGGTTCCTCATGTAGCCATAATCATAAGTTGCGTACAAAAATGTCCTATTTCTCTATGATAAACTAATTACATTCTACAAATTTTTGTTCTAAAGTCTAAACTACCAAAAATAAGAAAAAATCTGTAGGACACCAAATGACATTCTATGCTTTTTTTTCTATTTCCCTCCCTTACAAATATAGACACTACCACAGTACCGCGTCCAACTAGAGCCTAGGGTGTAAGTGAGTCGGGTCTAGGCAATTGTTTACAAGAGCCAGGACCAGACCTTTTTATTTGTTTTGTTCCAGACCCGAGTCTCAACCCGAGACTCTCAACCCAATGGATCCCATTTAAAATGTTCCAGACTTGGGAACCAGACCCTTATATCTACCTGCCCTGATATTTCTAAATGGGAGTCGCATTAGGCTGAATCACCAGTAAAATCTGTAGAAACTACGGAGTAAATTTTTATGAAATCAAATCAAACATGATATGAACGAGACAAAAAAAAAGTTAGAACAAGATACAAAAATTGCTGGCAAATCTACAAAAGGAGTCTAACGAAGACGCAATCAACAAAATAAAAAAATATAAAATTCCTCCACCCCTCCCCTTTCAGTTCCCAAGTTAATTGTCACATAGATACATGCAGAGTAGTTTTGGTTTTGTATTCGCATCCCAAAATGCCAATAAAAAGCAGATTTTCTTTTCTGATAGGGGTGGATTTGATTAGATGAGAAGAACTAGAGTTTGTCTGATAGGCAAATAAAAAGTTACTTCTGTATAAGTAGGAACTTTATTGTGAGGACAACCAAACGAAAAAAGAAAAGAAAACTAGGAACATAATTTGAGGACTGAGGGAGTATTTGGGTGTGGGCACAGAGTACAAACACAAAATAATCTTAATTGGGTACTTGGGTTGGGCTTTTTAAGAAATCTGAGACCCACCACATTTGATATGAGATGATTGCGTCCAGGTTCGGAATGTGCCCGTATGAAAATATGTGCTAGACTCATTTCAGTTGTTTGGGTAGGATCCGGGTCCAAAATTGACCATTGACAAACCTACGTCCAGTAATTCTTCCACGTAAAATGGTATATAGGCCATTTAACACCAGTTAGAATCCAATATGATGCTCCAAAAATGGTCCCATCCCAGATGCATGGTTAATAATTAAGAAACAGATTCATTTACTTATAGCAGCCTCTATTTAACTAACACAAGTGAGGTTGTGTGCATCTTCCTTTAACAATCCCCTGTGGAACAACCATTCTTTATTACATAGATGTTTAAAGACTACACAAAAATGTGAGAAACCCGGAAATTTTGATGTGTTATGAAAAGCTCCATATGACTAAGATGAAAAGTCATGAAAAGTTCCCGGTCAATACAATGCAAACAAATTCTCTGATCCGTACGCATTATTACTAACAATGCATGGTGAGAAGATTTGAAAGCCAAAACAATTTACTAGTAATATCAATGGACGGCCTAAAGACCGAAAAGAAGGTCCCACATGATGACTTGACCGACATCATCGCCAAACAACGGTTGTGGTAAGAAAAATTGTTCAGGTGATGAGACTTCCATCGTGCTTAGAGTAGAACGCACCAAACCTGGCGAGAGGGAATCAGAGCCTCTTGCGATGAGCTTGATCTTCAGGAATAGAATCAATCATGTTTTCAACATTCTCATCGTCTTCATCATCACCCCGAATTGCAATGAGTGAAGTCATTCTGATCTGTATCTCCAACTCGTATGGAGACTGCGCATGTTCTAGCTCGCATGTTCTAGCTCAATGAACTTGAAGATCCAAGGATAAAATTCATGAAGGATGACCTACTTTGCTTGAGACACTGATCCCTATCGATACTAAAATGATTACTTGTTTTCACTTCGTAATTCCCCTACTTCTTCCTCTCTAATGCAGGCTGAAAAATAATTATTGGTACTTGAATGGTTATATTAACTCAACTCACAATCACTAGCTAGCTATAAGATATGGTGGAGACAGTACGTTATATATATTAGGACAGTAGAAGTAGTCGAAGAGAAAACCCTACAAGGTGTACTAGCAGATAATTCCCCGCAGCTGAAACATATGATCAAGTGAAACAATTCAGTATATTAACGTGTACAATAATTCATAAACGTACTAGTTGAAAGTCCCAACAAAGTTAAGTCCCAACGAAGTGATACACTAATCATCAGAAAACTGCACACATTGCTTTGCTCGGACGACCTACTGTATATGTGCTTGCAGACTCATATCCGATAGCATATGAGAAAGAGGGGATAAAGAATCGGAAAACCGCTGCATCAAAATCATTTGCTAGTACACCCTGCACGATGTTCTCTTTTACTACTACTCTGTCTCCATCATATACTATAGCTAGCTAGTAATTGCGAGTTGAATTAATATAATCATTCTACGTACCAATTATAATTTTTCAGCCTACATTTGCATTAGAGGGGAAGAAGCAACAGAATTACGAAGTGACAACAACTTATCATGATGGTGTCGTTAAGAAGCGGTATCTTAAGCTGGTCATCCTTCGTGAATTTCATCCTCGGATCGTCACATTCTTTGATCTAGAACATATGCGGTCTCTATACAAGTTGCAGACGCAGATCAGAGGGACTTCAAGAATCCAATTTCCTCTTGCCGGGTTTGATGCGTTCTACTTCAAGCACGATGTAAGTCTCATCACCCGCAAACAATTTTTCTTACCACAACCATTGTTTTTGGCGACAATGTCGGTTAAGTGGTCATGTGGGACCTTCTTTTCGGTCTTTAAGTCGTTTTGTCGATATTACTAGTAAACTGTTTTACTTTTAAATCTTCTAATCATGCATTGTTAGTAATAAAGCTTATGGATCGGAGTATATGTTTGCATTGTATCAAACTATACAATTTGATACAAAATCATATGAGGTTGAGTACCTGTTAAGGCTAGAAACGACTAGGCCACGCTCCAAGGCTTCTTTGCACATATGTGAGCCAACAAATCCATTTCCACCCAGCACAAGTATCTGGACCCACCAGCACAGAGTCACTAAAAATTCGTCACTAAAAATTCTTTTGCAGGAAATGGCACAATGGATGTGAATTAAAACTATGAATAACCTTCTCTCTAGGAGGCAAATTTACAGTTTCAGCTTCCTCAACTTTAAAAGGGTCATCTATTTTGTTGGACTCGCTTGAAAAATAGCAAGCATTTCTCCATCCAGTCATATGCCTACATAATAAAAGCACCAAGAAATAAAAAAGTATATCTTTATGCCATGTAAGAGTAAAATATAAGAGGTTGAGACCAATCACAGGAAGAAGGGAGCTGTTTACTGAGATGAAGGAAATGACAAGCAAGGTAAAAATAGAAGCAAGTTTAGTAACCTATTAATCACATATCTCTAATGCATACATACCAAAACATAGAAAGCCTAACTTCCGTTGAAAGCTCACACAGATCAGGATAAGGTAGTTCATGTGTCAATAACACACCACAAATTACAGAGCATACGTTTGATAATCATTTCTCAAGTAAAATGTTGAATGATGAGTTGATGCCCAACCTCCCAACTAGGAGCAACTCCAATAGTTGTCTTATATTGTAAAAAAATGGCAGACTGGAAACGCAATAATTGTACAGCAATGACAGCATGCATGTATCCCTATCCACATCTATTGGCATACATACCTACCTACCGGCTAAAACTACATGCATTTGGGTGTCTACTGAGTGCGTTTTTTCATGAGGGTTTTTATGGGAATGCATTGGATTGTTATCCGTTAAAGAAGTTCATACGAATGACAATCTCAGGTTTATATAGTAAGTTTCGGAGGCCTTCCTTTTGTAGAATGAAAATAGCCAATTGCATGCGTCTCACTACTTAGCACTTGAAGAAAGGACAAAGAAACAAATTCTACATTATTAGTCTGCAATTTCAAGTTGACAATTAGTGATACTTAAGTGCTTCTTCACAACTATAAAACATTTCAATCATGATTACATCCCCAAAAGGCCCAAATGACACAAAAGTAATATGACATGTTGGCCTAGTAGTCCGGTGATCCTCCTCACCCACTTTAAAATGACCACTAAGAATCGAGTCATGCCATTCATGCCAAGTTCAAGTTCTTCCTAACCTCTCGTTAGGTCAATTGCACTACAATGTCCTTATGACCACCTCACTTCTAGTGCCGATTCAGTTAGACTTCTTGGTTTATGAACCAGTTTACCCACTGATTAAGTCCCCATGATTGATCTCACAGTCTAATACAAAACGGTAGTTGGTACCATGTAAATTTCTTACAAAAGTAATAAGGCAGACAAATAGACAATTGTATATTCAGACTAAAAAATGATCACGGCAGTTGGTACCATGTAAATTTCTACATACAGTATCCAGCAAGTATTAATAATATTGCAAGTTTGCAACGAGTTATCAAAAACCACAAAGATCATCGCCAAAAAATGGATCGAAATCGCCCAACTACCTGGCATCCAATCCATCAAATGACTACACTATGGACAGAGAACATCGGAGGGGTTAGCAATAGAAATCACCACTTCAAAACTTACGATGGCTTGGAGAGAAGAAATCTAGAGGCAGAAGAATGGATCAATCGTGATGCCATCTATGATCGTATCCTTGTTCTTCACGGAATTCCAACGAGTTTGAGTACAGAAGGCTGGCCTTTTGGATGCAAAAGGTTCTCCGTTGAATGTGCTATGGAGTGGGGAGAGAGAGCATGCGTGGCGTCATATGTAATAGACAAGTATGTGGAAGATGTGGCTGAATCCGTGCCTAGCAGGGGGAGAGGGCAAATTGGATTAAACCTTGGGTATCCAAATTTGGGATCCAACTCGCATACCACCCTTCCTAAGAGCATGAACAATGGCAAGGCGAAAATGGGATGCCACACGGTGATATGGAACATTTTAACCAATCAAAAATAGTCTAGTCAGCGTGTGGCAAGTGCATGGAGTGGCAAGTTCTACAATGGCAAGTCATTATTTTTTATCATTTTTTACATTTTTTTATGTTTTTAAAACATAAAAAAATATTTTTATTATTTATTTTATTAAAATATTATTCTACTTTCTTGTACACTTTTTTCATAAAAAATTTTAAAAAAATTTATTAAAAAAAAAGAAGGATGGAGTGTCACACTCATGCCTCACCAAGCAAGGCATTTTGGCCTTGCCATGCCATGATAAGAGTGGAAAAAGCTGATGTGGCAGTGCAAGGCATCCTTCTTCCTTGCCACTGCACATGCTCTAAGAGGGCGGATAAGGTCTGATTTAGATTCAAATCCGAAGTAGAAAGAGTTCTGGTTAAGATTTTCATTTTTAGAAACTAAAATCTTAGTTTTTTAATACTTAATTTTTATTTTTTTAAAAATTGCTACCCCGATTGGAAATTGGAACCGGTCGAAAACACCAGGTAAGGGTTCTATCGCACCCTTATAAGCACCGGAATCAGACTATTTCACCCCTATTTATCATCGATGTCTTCTTGAATGTTTGTGAGCAACTAATGTAACAATTGGGGCACGGCCCACGACCTAAAATTTCTAGGTCGGCCACATGGGGCACCCTTAACATGATTCTGACAAATTAACACGTCCAGAACATGGCTAACACTTCCTCTCAAACCAACAACCGTTAGTCCTGTTCGTCTTTCTCTTCAATTCATTACAGCCTAACACGATACAATTTGAAGACACAAAAATCAAAGTTACACGCCTACCTCGCCTCAAATCTGCTCCAAAATCCAAGCCCAACAACATCAATAATAGCTCAACTCAACTCTTCATATTAGTAGGAATGACAATTTCTACATGACCCAAGAGATACTTGTCCCACATGACCCGCTGTAATAGATAAAAACCTGAATAAATATGAATGATGGGTGGATCAAATAATGGGACGTGATGGTGCAAATTTAACCAGGTAGAAATTACAAGGACAGGTCGGGCAAGTCATACTTGACTAGTCAAACTTATTTGTTCCATATTGTGTTCAGTTGTTGTTGGCATTATCTTTTGGCAAACGAATAGTTTTATTTAGAATTATTTGTAGTTGTTTTAGTATAGAGCTATAGCGTCATGTCCGTCACCTTGTAAAGAACTGCAGCATCCCAGAATTCTATTCCTACTTGATTTACTTTTGGACTAGAACTCTGAATCCTACGGGGATAGGGTTTAAGGTTTGTGTATCTGTGCCACAAGTCTCTCACAAAAGATGGGAGGGCCGGAATATACACAAGATAAAAAGAAAATATGGAGCATCCAACTTAGTTAGAGAGGGTTACGGTATTGTAGCCTCCATCACCGCTGGTTAGTCGTCAGCCATCGACCAACGTTGCCGCCACCACATTAACATGCGGCATTCAATAATGCTTTGTGCGACTATTTCCATACACTAGGTTGAGCAAAAAGGAAAGGAAGACCAAGTATTTATTTCTTAGTTTTGAAGTGCAACTAGAAAAGAAAATATAGAGTATATTTGCTGCCAAGAAGAAAGCGAATCCGAAGTATATTTGCGAATCTAAAGAAAAGCAAATCCAAAGTATATTTGTTGTGAAGAATCTTCAAAAGGCGCACGTCTAATTTTCCAAAGCTGTAGTTGTGACTTATTGATAATTTTGACAACATCGTTGTATTTTATCATTGTTGTGCCATTCGTCATTTAATCTACATGCTATGGTTCAGATTTTGTGAAGTCGATTCTTGAATTAGGGTTGCAAACATGTCCTTGAAGATATCTTGGTGAAGGGGTGCAACAGCCTAGAAATGTTCTTAGTAGTTAGCCGTTATTTTTTAATAAATAAATATTATTTATATATGTTAGAATTAATTGTTTTAAATTATTAACTATTATTGTGATTTTATTATCCAAATGTGATTTGAAGGTACGACTTGTTTTAATGAATAAATAAGAAAAGTTTATTCTACAGGCCTATCACTATTAATTAATTAAAAATAATTAATTAATGATTGAGACGGAGCCAGAGTGAGAAAATATAAAGTTGTGAGTATTGACTTTTTATATACTATTATTATAATTTTGACAATCTCGTTCCAAAAACAGAATCAAGATCCAATTTGGGAGTGTGGGTGAAAAGTGTACGGAGTTGAATTGAATATTGAAATCACCAATAGGATTGAGAATTAGGAAATTAAGGTTATGTTGGTGTCGTTGTGCACCTGATGGTCTTGAGAATTAAAATGTACGTTCGAAGGTTAGTGACCCTCTGGTAGGAGCTAGAGGGAGCCCCAACCCCCTCCATTGAGAGGTCTTTGGATATTGAGAATGGTTCCTAGTGAGAGCTTGGATCCAACGACTCCCATATGTCAGATGTGAGCCTTAACCAACATAGGTTAAGAGTAGTGAGTAGTTGGGTATGTTATGATGATTAATGATGTTATATGATGATATGATTCATTCGCATGACATTGTATGACTGTGTGAGAATTAGTTCGGGCATTAAATATATGCTTACTCACCTTTCAGCTGCGCGTGTATTCATTGTTGATCTTTTGCTACGCGTAGGTAGGAATAACCAGGGATTGGATGTGCAGCACGAAAATTAGTGATTCTTGACGAAGTGAATGGCCCGAAGATCTTTTATGTTAAATTAATTATTGAGTTGAACTTACTTAAATTACAAGAATGTTTTGGTGATTTTGTTTTTAAAGGCTTCTGCAACATTTTGATTTGTTTACTTCAATTCACTTATGTTCATTTCAAAGTATTATGAATGGGTGTTTTATTTTAAATATTTTAAATATTTTAAATATTGTGCATGTGGATACCAATTGTGTGGCAACCTGGTTTGCAAACTCGTTTATTCGAGATACACGGGTTGGAGTGTTATAAGGTGTATAGTCGAGAAACAATTTGAACATGGTTAAAAATAAAAGTCTTACTTTTGAGGTTTTGTCATAACAATTTATAGAAGAGTGTCTAAGATTTAGTAAAAGGCTATTACACAAACGTGGGCCCCATATACGTAGGAGATTTTGCTTCAAACTGCATAAAACATGGTGCACTGTTTACTATTTTCACTTTATTTTTATGCGTGTGTGAATGTGATAGAGAATGTGTTATAGCACTCTGTCTTTCATCTGTTTCTAGGGGTGGGCACGGGCCGGTCCGAGCCAAGATTTGTATAAACCGGACTCGACTTGTTTTTTTAAAACGGTCCGGGCCAGAACGGGTTTTCAAAATTTTAAAATTGAAACCGGCCGGACCTAACCCGGCTTGTTTTAAACGGGCCGATTCCACGAGTCAACGGGTCCGAACATATCATGATACTAATATTAAAAATAAAGGGATAATAAATTAATTTAAGTCATCCAACATAAAAAAAGAGATGTAAATGAAAATAAAACAATGACAAAGAAGGGCATGAGAGTAAATTGTACACCTCATGATCATCCAACAACAATAATAAAAAAGAAGACAACCATATTTTGGCATTATAATGTCAATGGGTTGCAAAAAGAACAAAATTCACAATCTTCATGGGTTCCGACTCTCTGACTTTGAAAGGTTTTTTTACTTTTCTGCCTGCGATTGGAAGGACCAAAAGATTGAAGGGCTTAGGCAGGTATATTTCCATATACACGTATATTTACTAAAAATAATATTAAAAATAATATTGAGATTTAAAAAAACGGTCCGGTCCAGGTCCAATACAATTTCAAAATGAGGAACCGGACCGACCCTAAAATTTGTAAGGACCGGACCGAACCGGACCGTTTGAAATATTTGAAAAGAGGACCCGACCCTAACTTGGACCGAACCTAGCGGTCCGGTTCCGACTCACGGTTCCTGGACCCGATTGCCCACCCCTATTTGTTTCTATGACAATGTTGTAGGATCATTTCTAGCAACTTATCTAGTCGACTAGTTTGTGTTGCTTATTTTTATTGGTGATTTAAGCTGTACTCCGAGGCATTTCAACTGGAATCATAGTGGTTAAACTTAATTTGCTAGTTTGATCTGATCTATAATCATCATGGGAGACCTACAAGAAGTTGCCAATATATTCAAGCACCCTCTATTGTGTGGCCATGATTATTCTTTTTGGAAGTATAAAATTTGAGCATTTCTCTAATGTAACACCCCAACCCACATAATCTGAATATATGGGTTAGCAAACCGAGTTGCTACTAAATTGGTATCCACATATAATATCCACATATAATATTTTCCACATATAATATGGGTTAGCAAACCGAGAAAATATTATTCTGTTTACTCATTTATAACTTTTATATATACACACACACACACACACACACATATATATATATATATAAGTCATATATGAGTAAACAGAATAATATTTTCTCTATTTAGAAATAAATAATTATGGTATTTAACTAAAGTTATAATCAATTTAATTTAATTCAGTTGTGGCATTAAATTAAAAAATAAAAATTATGTTTTCTTAAAGTTTTATAAAATAAGAGTTGATTGATTTTTCAAGTAATTCATACAATATTTATAATATATATAAATAAATATTTGCGTGATATGCACTTCCTATTAATATCTATTATATCAATGGTTTAGATTTTGAATCTTATCTCAAAACCCAAAAATAATACTCCCTCCATCCGGAATTTAAGTTCCCATTTTGACTTTTAGTCATTTTTATTGAGTATTGACTTTGGGAATAAAATGTCCACAATACCCTTATTCCCTTCCCTCATCCTTCCATGTTACCTCAACACTGCCCTTCCCTGCCCACACCTCCACCGGCCACCGCCACCTCCCAATCG